ATGATACTTAGTTAAAAAATGAAAAGAGCTGTAACTAAACTTTTTTTGTATTCACATTCATCGAGCGTTTTATGAATAAATAAAAAAAAAAAAAAAAGATTTTTGAAAAACGTGTTTGCTCTTTTTCCTTGGGCAAGTCATTTAATTGTTTGTTTTTCGATGAGTCAACTTAGGGTGAAACAAAAGCATAAAGTAAAAAGAGTCTAATCCTTTAAAAGTAGGCTTTGTGACAGAAAAACTATATTTTATGAATAATTGGATCAGAACATTTTATTAGGATCAAATTTTGACCTAAAATATAGGATGTGGTGCAATCCAGCAAACTAAGAATAGACATGGCTAGAAACACGGGGTAGTAAGAATAGCCATGACGTCACCGTTATTACGGGTCCGGAGTAGGGTATGGGGGAGAGCACCGGTTCGCACMGGTGGCACCGGGTGCAGGATTGGAACCTCACTGGAACCTCATTCAGGTGGCGCAGAACCCCTATTCTATATCTACTAGCACGACGCGTAGCGAAGTGTTCTGGAGTGTTGTGCCGATCCTCAAATGCTTTAATAACTTCCCACGGCATGGCGAGAATGGTAATCGATGGTGATGATGATGGTAATGGTGACGGTGGTGATGATGATGATGACAATGAGAATGGTAATCGATGGTGATGATGATGGTAATGTTGACGGTGGTGATAATGATGATGACGATGAGAATGGTAATCAATGGGGATGATGATGGTAATGGTGACGGTGGGGATGATGATGACGATGAGAATGGTAATCGTTGGGGATGATGATGGTAATGGTGACGGTGGGGATGATGATGACGATGAGAATGGTAATCNGGTGGGGATGATGATGACGATGAGAATGGTAATCGTTGGGGATGATGATGGTAATGGTGACGGTGGGGATGATGATGACGATGAGAATGGTAATCAATGGGGATGATGATGGTAATGGTGACGGTGGCGATGATGACGATGAGCGGATGACCGCTAGTTTACTTGTAAAGCGCATTTCCAATATGTACAAATGTGCTTCGAAAATATATCATTATTAGTAATAATATTAAACCATGGTTATATTAGCATTGGTAGTATTATTATAATAAATAATAATATTTATTAGTTTTCCTCCCTTAACCCAACACGCAAAACTCAAATTCAAATTGTTATATATTCCCACTGAGAGCTCCCACACTCAATGCCTTGAATAATACTAAGTTATGGGGAGATGACCTCTGAGGCGGAAGCGAGCAGGTAGATCTCAGTGGGAAGATCGCTTAATTCATCGCCGCGGGGAGGTGGGTGGGGCGTCGAACTGGTCTTATACTTGAATTCCGAACTGGTTCAAAGAGGTATATTTTATGTACGGCAGGTTTTTTTATATTCCACATCAAGGCGTTTTTTTGGTATGGAGGGTGTTGTGGGGGTTTATTAAGATTTATGCATGGTTTGGGTTAGCTGGCCTATGTGTTGTGCTTTTTATTCACAATGTTTTTCAATGTTTTATTTGTCCAGAGCCTCGCAGGATCCCCAAAGTAGATCTTGCCTTTGCCATAAGTGCAGCATCGTCCAATGCAGATGCAGCTCTCCAACACATGAAGGACATCATTAAGAGTGTTGTAACCCGATACGGAGCCAATCGTATTCGTTATGCCCTGATGACCTTTCAAGATGATGCTAATATAATAATCTCATTCAAGGAGAAGATAACCGAGCCATCGTCACTCATTCCATTCATCGACGTGTTGCCAAAGAGTTCTGGAGGTTCATCGATTGGGAAAGCTTTAGAAGAAGGTATTCATATTTAGGGTTTTCATTAAGTTTTGAAATAATAGAAGATAATAATTGCTAGGGAGTCCTGGAGACCGAGTGAACATTTAACAAATTACTAAGCTATCGCGTCAAGTTTTTTTTTGTTATTACTATTAGCTATAAGATATCAATGGTAATTTGATAAAGCCGGAGAATATTACGTTCAGTTACGGGCGCATTCTCCGATTCCCGATCCCCGATCCCCGATCCCCGATCCCCGATCCCCGATCCCCGATCCCCGATCCCCGATCTCCGACCTCTATTGAAAACCCTACATATTAGTATTATTCTCCGATCTCCGACCCATGTTGAAAACCCTGTATATTAGTATTAGTGATATTTCATGCATGTTTATTAGCAGATCCATAATGATGTTATGTGATATGCCAACTATTTCCACACAAGATTGTTACAAGTTGCTTTGTGTCACCAGCCAATCGATCTCTGCTTGGCACATGAACAGCATCATTATTTCACATAAACGTGAAATGGTTAACTTTGAATTTTCTGACTTTTATTATTGGGAAACTCTCGACCCAGTTTTTTTTATAATAAAATATTATTTTTTTCCTTTCTTTTTATTTCTTTGTTTTTCGTTCATTCACTCTTTTATTCTTCCGTCCCTAATTCCGCTCCCACCATCTATTCCTTTCTCAATCTATTCATTCATCCCGGCCTCCCTTCAAATGACATGTTTGATTCGTCAGTTTGATTTATCTATTTATCATTCCACGACTCCATCCAACAGGCAGAAAACTATTCGAAAGTGACGCCGTGAGGCCAGACGCCCAAAAAGTTCTGGTCCTGATCACTGACAAGAAATCATCTGGAGATTCCTCACGTGCAGCACTAGCCAAGAAAGAGATAGAGGAGAACGAAGTTGAACTTATAGTTGTGGGTGTTGGCGATGAAGTCGATAAGAAGGAACTGGTTGATACAGCGACGTCTCCCCATCATAAAATAGACTCGTCCAGTGATGATGATCCTGATGATACAGCTGATAGGATTATCGATGTTATTAATAAAGGTGCTGTAGATCATTTTTACATAGGTGGACGTAAAAGATTATCTGTGAAAAATCATGGCACGACACGGTTACCTTGATCAGCGCGTAGCACTGCATAGTTAGAATTAAGAGGAAATTTTTTTCAATTATGAGCAATAATGGCAAAAAGCGCCAAAAACTAGACTTTCGTATGAGGTTTGACCCAATTTTCGAAACCTTTTTTAAGCAGTTAGAAACTGATGTACTATGATAAAATGCCTGTTTGAAGCGCTATTTTCAATTTTASAAAGATGTTTTGTTGCATTTGTGTTAGAATGTTGCTTTGTCAGGCTTTTTTTATAGAAAATATATGGGAAATAAGCAAATGAAGGCCTAAACCTCATTTTCAAATAAAATTTTTGCTTTGGGTTAACACTTTGATTTCACTTTCATCGGTCATCTCCACTTCCAAACATGTTAAACTTTCTGAATAACAAGATTTTAGAGTGTACAACAGCGTTTCTTCAAGAAAATAGTTATTGGCGCTCTCTTAACATTTTCTCTTTCATCAGATCCGATGGAGTTTGCAGCAGTTGATCTTGGATTTGCCATCAGCTCCACATCCATTGACGCTTCAACCACTTTTACTTTAATGAAAGATACCATCAAATCTATCGTCTCGGCCTACAGCACCAAGAACATTCGCTATGGAATAATCGTATTCGGCGATCAGCCTTACAAGGTCTTAGATTTTGGAGAGGCCTTACCGAGCAAGGACATACTGACCATGAAAATCGATTCCATACGACGACGTTCTGGTGATCCAGATCTTATAGGAACCATGCGAGCTGCGAAAACGATGTTCGAAGGGAGAGGTGCTCGCCCCTACGCGAAGAAAATTCTTGTAGTTATTGTGGATAACGATGCTCAACAACGAAGAAGCCAGATTAATCTAGCTGCGAAGCCTTTAGAGTATTTAGGAATTCGTGTAATTCCGGTTGCTGTTGGAAGATACGCTGAGCCCCAGCAGCTCGAGAGTACCACGCCCTTGAAGGATAATATAATGGTGATTCCCAAGACTGAAGACCCGAAAATGTTTGGCAGAAAGATTGTTGAAAAAGTCAAGAAAAGTAAGTATATTCACCGATTATTTTTGAACTCCAAAGGGGGATGACTAGACTGTTAACAGTCGTCCATCTTTTCACTCCTAACTCATTCGAGTCGAGTTTCTAAGCCCCTTCGTACACCTATTTCATAACTAGTCATAGCCAAAGGCGATAGGTCATAGGTCATTCCGACATGGAAATACAAAGCACATTGAATCAGTAGTCTCAACACTAAGGTCTATGTTTTTGATGAGAATAAGAAGCAGAAACACAATTCATCACAGCTATTCTTGGATATCTCCTATGGCTATTCGCCTATCGTCTATCGCCTTTATCAATCAATCAGTTTATTCAATCTACCTTTCTGGAAATATAGTAACAAGTATTCAAAATTATATTAACAATAATTGGCGATGACACCCTTTTTGAAATCGGTGTATAAATGTTAAAACACTTTCTCGCATATATTGTTTTGTTACAACGACAGAGTTTGGGCTTCCTGTGGATTGATTCTGTGTGTTTGGAATCTTGACGGGCTACTAACATCGATGCCTCACTCACGTTACCGAACGATACACGGCAGCCCCTGCTTACTTTACTTTCACATGACTTTATTTCTGCCCTAGCCTCCCAAACGTCTTTCAATTATTCCTGTTTATTTATTTTTTTTTCAGATTTGATGATCCCGTTAATACCGGAAGTAGATCTTGTCTTCGCGATCAGTGCAGCTGCAACAGACTCGGAAAGGAACTTCCAGCAAATGAAGTCCGTTGTAAACTCCATAATCAGTACATACAGTATGGAATGGATTCGGTATGGTGTGATATTGTTTGGTTCAGACGCCACCGTACGTTTTAATATGAATAATTTCTTACCTACTGATGCAGTCCTCAAGAGTCTTATCGCTGGTTTGCCTAAACCTTCAGGAACTCCTGCAGTAGATAAGGTATGGAGGGGACTTAACTGAACCAATTTGAAAATCTTAAGCTATACCTTTTTATTTTGGGTGGAACGTTTTCCAAATAGGCCAAGTTCGAGATATCAAATAATAGATGTTTAGTATAGGAAATCACACGATCTCGAGTAGAATTCGGAATTTATAGGCGCGTGTGATGTTTTGAAAGTTTTCAAAATTGGACGGCCCTTTAGGCGATTTCAATTTGAGAACTTTCAAAACATCACTAGTATCTATAAATTCCGAATTGTACGAGAAGATTGTGCGATTTTTTGTCTATAATACACTTAACAAAATTGAGGAATTTAATTCAGGGAATCTACAAAGTACAATTTGTGATTTAATTGTACTCCTCTTGTCCAATCAGAATCAAGTGATTTTGTTGAGTGCATTATTAATGTTCAAATTTGTATTAAACCTCAAAAGGAGGAGAAAAGAATAAAATGAATTTCGCTATAATTATAAATATTTTGAACCGCAACGAAAAACAATTGAGTTAGGATTGTTCGATATATTGTGACATTTAAGATCGTTATCTTTAGGCTCTTGATGAAGCAAAACGTTTGTTTGATCAAACACCTGACCGCCCTAAAGCAAGGAAAGTCTTGGTGGTTTTGATAGACAAAAAGTCTGGTAACACACCTGGCCAAATCATACGAGCAGCGAGACCCTTGGAAGAAGATATGGTAAAAGTAATCCCTGTTGCCATTGGCAACGAGGCAGATATGGACGAGCTGGAATACGTGACACCCGAGAAAAACAATGTCTTGAAAGAAAACAAGGGAGAGAGTCCTGAGAGACTGGGCAAAAGAATTATGGTTAAAGTGTTTAAAAGTAAGTGTTTTATTTAGGTTAGGTTTGACTACACGTAAAGATGCTGACACACGGTGCAACATTGCAAGCAACAAATTTGAATCGGAGTGACACACATTGCAACAAAATCACGCAACATCGAGCATACAATAAGATATTTGGTCAGCAGTTATAAATTTGGTGCAAGCTGATTGGCTTGAAATTTCAAAATGTTGCAGGTAATGTTGCAGCCATGTTCACATGATGAAATTTGTTGCGCCTAATGTGGCAAGAGTAGAGCGCGATTCAACTTCAGATTTGTTGCATGCAAGGTTGCGTGCAACAAGTTTGGGGTAGACACGCTGCAACAGTCCTGTAGCGTGCAATGTTGCATACAATGTTGCATGCAATGTTGCACCGTGTGTCAGCACCTTAAGTTCCACTTGACTGTTTCATTATTTTTATCAAACCCAGAAACAATCGCTGAGTACTTTCACAACGGATTGAAACATAGCGTTTTTTTTAACCAAGAGGAAAAGCTGGAGTGACCCAAAGGAAACCCTTGATCAAAGGAAAGACTCAAAAAGTTACACATAGTCTCGTTCTCATAATTTCCCATCACGCTTTTCAATTGATGTTTCGTAATATGTCGTAACAAAATTCTCTCCATACATTTTTTTATTTTCGCCAAATTTAAATTTAATTTAATTTAGATTTATTACTTTGGAAATCAAAACGACGACTGACTTTTATTTGTTTTAAATGATTTTAGAGTTTATCCAGGTTCCGGAAGTCGACATCGCATTTGCCATTCAGGCATCAACCTCTGATGCTGATGCTACCTTTTCCAAAATCAAGAAAACGATCAAGATGATTATAGACCAGTATGGTTCGAAAAAAATCCATTACGCGGTCATCGTTTATTCCAACACTGCCACAACAAAGCTGAATTTCGACGAGCGTGACCAACTTGTTGATGACAAGGAGCTTAAGAACCTTATTGATACCATACCTAGAGTTACAGGTCCACCGTCAGTGATCGCAGCCATTGAAGAAGCGAAAAAGTTGTTTGAGAGTTCCGCAGCTCGACCACAAGCTCACAAGGTATTTTAACTTTGGTAGTTACTACTCAAAGGGCTGTTTCCTTTCCACAGCAATGCGAGAAAAGAAATCGATCGCGATAATAATAGACCTAATCCACTGTTTTCCATTTCAGACCACGTGTCATTCCCTAAAGTATCATTTTTTGTTTAACTTTGCGCATGAAAAGACACATGAGTATGGATACAGCTTGAACCAATAATTTTATTCTCAAAAAAGATATGAAATGCAAAAGACGTTTGCTCATTAGGTCCATTGATAGCATAAATAATATATAAATTATTTATATGATATATATAAATAATTTATGTAATATAAAAATTACTAAGATAACTACTGATCTTAAATTAATTTGAAGCGTTTCTTTGTTCTTCTCTTTTCCTCAGGTTCTTGTCATAATGCATGATCGACAATCTACCGATGATTTGAATGACGTCAAAGATAAATCACGTGACTTGGAGGATAATGGCATCGAGGTGATCCCGGTGGGGATTGGTAACCAAGTTAATCCGGTTGAAATATCTACCATGACGCCACACTCTGATAATACCATCAAAACCGGCAAACCCTTCGACGCTGGAATCCTTGCTGAGGAGATTATGAAGAGAGCATTGAAAGGTTCGCAAAATGTTTCCTTTCCTTTTGACTTATTATTGTTTCCTCTAATTTCTAGTATCATTTATTATTATTCATATATTTTTCATCCAAATTTTCGTTTCATAATACGTTTTGCTGTAACTTCGGGGGATGCATCATCCCTTCAAAAATCATCCTTTTTCTATTGAGTTTCATCGCAGTGTACTTTCTCTAGCTTACTTGAAAATAAAGAGACAGGTCAGTGGACAGACGTTCAAGCTCTCTTAGAAACAATATGCTGTCCTCGCTTTTAACAGCCTTTCTTAGTTTGTCCTAAGATACCAAGTATGTTCACCCTGCCTGTACCATTAACAGAAAACACTTTTTACATCTCTAGTTCGTCCTAATATACCACGTGTTGACTTCACCTTCACCATTGACAGGAAACCCTTTTTTCATTTTCTAGTTCGATTTAGGATACCATGTGTTGACCTCGCCTTACAGGAAACACGTATTATTTTCTAGTTCGTCCTAAGATGGCACGTGTTGACCTCGCCTTAAACCATTAACTGGAAAACTATTTTTCATTTTCTAGTTCGTCCTAAGATACCACGTGTTGACCTCGTCTTCACCATTAGCGCTGACTCCGCAAACTCAGCCCAAACCTTCCAGTACATGAAGAACATCATCAAATACATCATTGACAAATATGGCACGAGTAGAATCCACTACAGTCTTGTCATCTTTGGCAGCGAACCATCCGTCAAGATATCCTTCCAAGAACGCATGACAAATCCACAGCAATTGAAGACTTTGTTGGACAGAGCGCCAAGGAGTTCGTTTGGCTCGAACCTTGAAAAAGCCATCAGCGAGACCAAAAAGTTGCTTAATAGTGATGCTGTGAGACCAGATGCACGTAAAGTAGCGGTCATCATGACAGATGTAAGGTCTACCGGTAATAAGGAAAATGCTAAGGTTGCAGCCAGAGACTTGGAAGATAACGGCATTGAGGTATTCATTGAATGTGCGCATTATAGTCCCTTTTCTCATTCGGTAAATACCGCTGTGTTTTATGACTACAGACTCATTTTTACAGGTTTAGGGCGAGTACAAACGTCGAACTTCACATGAACCGAACGTAATGACATCAAAGAAGACCGCATTATTTATTGTTTCAAGTGAAGTTCGACCTTGCTTAAGAGCAAATCATTTGCAAAAGTCAACTGTAATGTAAAGAATTTGCAAGTTCTACAATACAAATGTTTTGAAATCCCACGGGCTTTCAATGGTATTTGTGAATAGTTGACCTATAGACGAGGCTAAGCCTGTACAAATGAGTCTGTGGTCTTCAAAAACAGCGGTATGCATCGAATGCGAAACTGGTGTGTTACCATAGTTACCTAATTATTGTGTCCTATCTTGCACTGGGGCACCGTATGCTATATGATTCAAGCGGTTGCAGGGAGGCAGGACTGTTTATTCCAATTTCCGAACATAGGCAAGTAATTTAAGTTTAGATCATCATATTTGTCTCATTGGAACCAAACAAAGTTTTTTGTATTTACAAGATCTTGACTTCTCATACTAGGTAATCACTGTGGCTATCGAAGGCGAAGCTGATAAAGAAGAGCTGATAGATGTGACACCCAAGAAGGACAATGCATTGAACACTACCATTCCCGATGGCGTGCAGAAGATTGGAGATGAAATCATGAATCGTGTTAAACAGGGTTAGAATAATAATTAAAAAAAAAAAAAGAAATTAGAATTAAATATATCGTCTTCAGTATGGATGTTGATAAACGTTTGTTTAAGAAAATAAAGGCAAGAATTGCTGGACTTTTCGAAAATGAAAATGATGACAGGATGTCATCGAAACGTCCAGCAATTCTTGCGTTTATTTTCTTAATCATATATCGTCTTCGTTTAATGACTGTATAACACTATTAGGCAATGACTAAGAAACTTATTTACCGCCATTATAAATTGGATTCAGAAGTTGATTTTTGCGGAGGGAGCAAAGCTAAGGAACACGGGGTACTACTTCAACTCGGTTATGGAACGATGGACATATTTTTCTCAGCCACTGGTTATTAAAAATGTTTACAGAGGTCAATAGTCCCTTACACAGTTCTTCGCGCCATCTTGAAAGGTAGCCTTGCCTTTGCATCGAAGCGAAACGAAAGGTGAGCTTGCAATGATAGAGACCTGTTTTAAACACCTTGGAAAATTATTCACGTCTCTATCATTGCAAGCTCACTGTTCGTCTCGTTTCGATGCAAAGGCACGTATACCTAACAAGATGGCGCAGGGAACTGTGAAGGAGACAATTGGCAGTATACTACTGTCAACCAAAGAAAGCACGGTTCTTATGTACCTTTACCGTACAAAGATGTATTTGTCGCGACTTTTGTTTCAATTCAGCATCTAGCAGTGAAAACCGTGGCAAGTGCTGCCTTTTGAAAAAGCAAAGACATTTTTACTAATTGTCTTCATATTTGTTCCAGATCCCTTGGAGACCGTCGAGATTGACCTAGGGTTTGCAATCAGCGCCACATCAGTCCAGGCACCAACAATATTCAAACTTATGAAAGATACACTGAAAACAATCGTTGATATGTACGGCACCGACAACATCCATTACAGTGTCGTCGTCTTCGGCAGCCGGCCCATCTTAGTGACAAGCTTTAGCAGTGCATTCCTGGACAAAGACACTCTGATACGCCAACTGGAACGAATGGCAAGCAGCTCTGGAGTCCCTGATTTGAAGGCTGCCTTACAAATGTCGCGAGTCACTTTCCAAGGCGCTGGGTCCCGCGAGAAAGCGAGGAAAATTCTGGTAGTGATAATGGATAACAAGTCGGGTAATTCTAAAGAGGATGTTGTTAATACTGCAAAGTATTTGGAAGACGAAACCATACAAGTGATTCCAGTCGCTGTTGGTCAGTATGCCAATCCCAATGAACTCGTCGAAACAACACCTCTGAAGAGCACATTGATTAAAGTGCCAAGTTCTGAACGTCCTAAACCTCTAGCTAAAAAGATTATGGATAAGATAAGAGAAAGTGAGTATGAACTATTGTTAACATAGCTGGAATCTGTCCCCTCTGATGAGCGCGCTCTCATTCGTTGAATCGTGGTCACATGACATCCTTGATGCGACTTTCATGCGATGCCTTCTGATGCGAAAGCTAATAACACGAATTTTGAAATTTTCGCAATTTTTAGCTTCCAATTTTTTTTTGTCGCCATCCGTTCTGTTGCTTCGGGTTATGATAGATTATTTCCTAACGTAAAGTCGCCGTGAAAAAAATACAATAATTATATTATGATTGACGCGGTTTTCTTCGTTTCTCTTACACATACGACAACCATATCGACGCGCTCTTTTCTCTATTCTTTACCGTTTTTCTTTTTCTGTTATTTTACAAAGATCTCGAGCCCGTCAACGTCCCAGAAGCTGATCTTGTCTTCGCAATCAGTGCTGCTTCCGCCTACTCTAACTCTAACTTCAACAAGATGCGAAACATCATCAAGTCAATGATCGACAAATATTCCATGGGGAAGATGCGGTATGCAGTGGTAGCCTATGGATCGTCGGCTCTAAAGAGACTGGAATTCAGGGATCGCTTTAATGATGATGACGATCTCAAGACTTTCGTTGATTCTATTCTTCCTGTTGGAGGATCCCCGAATCTTGAAGTTGCTTTGCAAACAGGAAAGAGTGTTTTCCAGGAAGATAACAAAAGGCCAAATGCTCGCAAGGTATGTATAGCATACTTGGGACATTTTGCGACTATGGTGGCGTCATTTTAGTACCACTGCCTACATGATAGGTGGCGTAGTGGTTTACTTCTCGCCTCTCACCGCTGTGGTCCAGGTTCGAGCCCCGGCTCAGACTGGATCTCATGAGAGTTGAGTTTGTTTGATGTGTCGTTCTCTCCCTTGCCACGAGGAATTTCTCCGGGTTCTCTGGTTCCCTCCGTCCGTAAAAATCAACATGGAGTCGAGTGTTATATGTTTTAAATATGTAATGCAGTGGAAGTGCGTGTGGAGGGAACCTCACGGAAGAGCCCCATATGGGGAGTGGTGGACTACTTTGACGCTGCAAAGTTCGAAGCACTCTTTCCCCTATTAAAACTGTGATTGAATGACAATCAAATTTAAAATTTCCTTGTTTCAGGTTCTTATCATTCTCACTGATAAGCGATCCACCAACACACCACAAGAGATTGAAGTAGCAGCCAACCCTCTAGAAACGTCTAAGATTAGAGTAGTTTCGGTAGCCCTTGGAAACGAAGTGAATGGCCAAGAACTCGAGAAGACTACCCCAGAGAAAGGAAACGTGATCTCAGCCGCAAGGGACGATGAACCAGAAGCAATCAGAGATGAAATTGCTAGAGTTGCTTTCAAAGGTACAAAACTTGCTCTATCTTTTGGAACTCGTAGCAAAAAAAWACTTATTGTATCAAAAAAGTGGTCTCTCTCAGTCATAGCGGAACTGCAAGAGGCTCATTGCAATTTGTCACATGATTTACACCACGTGACAACTCTTGCTTGAAGGAGATCGATTGGTTTGGTCGCATACCACGCAACGTATTTCGTCACGTTTTTGTTCACATTTTAGCACAACTCATTGGTTTTTTATAGTTGCCTCAAAATGTACTTGATTTTGATTTTCAGTTGCTCCGATGGTACCAAATATGGATCTTGGGTTTGCGATGACCGCGGGCTCAGCTGATGCAGACGAAACCTTTATCCTCATGAAAAACACCATTAAATCAATCATTGACCTTCACGGACAAAAACGACTCCATTTCGCCTTTATCGTATTCGGAGACTCGCCGACCACTCGTCTTAACTTCGGAGATTCTGTTCCTACAGACTCGGAACTAAAGAAAATGATCGATAGAATTCCTAGGGTCAGTGGATCCCCTGATATGGCCAAAGGTCTAGAAGAGGCAAAGAAAGTGTTCCTGAAATCTGGAACGCGCCCGAATGCTGAAAAAGTGCTGGTGGTCATGGCTGATCGAAAGTCTATCAATACCCCGGGAGAACTAGAAGAGAAAGTCGACGCTCTTCAGGGAAGAGATGTGCAGGTTATTCCAGTCCTTGTAGGCAGATACGTCGATCTGAATGAAAGTAAACTTCTAGCACCCAAAGAAGGGGATGTTATTAAGGCAAGAAAAAATGAGGATCCGAAAGATTTGGGTGTTCAAATCATCAAGGTCGCTCTCAGAGGTAAGAACAATGGAAAATAGATGAGACGCGCGACATACATTGTCATAACCACCTTGTTGGTTGACCTAAGAATATTTTTGTTTAAGGTATTCAACATGGCGGCTGTGACATCACATTCAGAATATATAGGTTTGACAACCGAGCTATTTAGTTTATAGTGGTCTTGCATGACGGTTACACTCTATGTAGCATTATATTTTTACATCGTTACACACAATGCACAATGCTCAACTCACTAGGTAAATTATATTTGGGGAGTAAAGGCTGAGTATCCGGTCAAATGATAAAAACTCCCCTAAAATGAGTAACTAGATGACGGTGAACCACACACAGCAGGACGTGCAAGGTATAAAACAGTTCTCGATTTCTTTCAGGTCCTCTGAAGGTTCCCAAACTTGACCTGGTATTTGCAATCAGTGCAGATATCACCGCTGCTGATGATACTTACGGCTTCATGAAGCGAATCATCAAGAGTGTTATCAAAAAATACGGCACTTCCAGTATTCATTATGGTCTCTTGGTCTATGGGGACACGCCGTCAATCAAAATCAGTTTCCATGACGATCAGCGAAATCCTAAAAAACTTATCAGGTTAATGGAATCCGCGCCAGCGAGTTTGGGTGGTTCTGATTTAAACAAGGCTCTAAAAGAAGTTCGTAATATGTTCGAGAGTAGAGCTGCTCGTGCTGATGCTATCAAAGGTCTTGTGATCATGACAGACAGACAGTCGGAGAGTCCAGTAAGTATTTTAATGCTGACTGTTGTAGGAAAGGGAATAGGAATATTTTCTTAACCCATTATCTTGTCATGCAAAGACATTGCATTGTTTATGTCCTCCCCCCTCCCCCTCCCCCTCCCCCTCCCCGCACATGGCTTTTGTTCAAAGCCACTCTACCATGATGACTACTAATTTTGACCTGTCGTTCTTGGATAGGCGACTGCTGTCAAGAAAGCAGCCAAGGCTCTTGCAGACAAGGGTGTCAAGATATTTGCAGTGGCCGTAGGACCTCGCGTTGATACTGGCATCTTGAAGAAGAAAATACCAGACGCACCGGTCAAAAATACAACCACTACCACTGATCCTGGCGACATTGGTGATAAAATCATTGAAAAACTTGGCAAAGGTACAGTATTTGTGTTTTAGGACAGGGCATGATCACGTGATGACCGTTATTCTTGAACCATTAAATTGTTAATTCAAGACAGTTTTTACTTCCACATAGTAAGGACATTCTGTTATTTTTACAATCCAACATGGTTAACGTCAGTAAAACTTTGTAAGAAATTGCACCAATTTGCACAAATTAGTAAGTTCAGTAGACCTCAGTAGACAGTAGACCTACTAAACTTGTACTAATTTGTACTATATGTTAGTTTACTCTTTCACGGATATATGGTATGCACACTAACATTATTTTTGGCAAATTATGCAAAGAGAATTCTATAAATGTCTCAATGGATCTGGTTCACACGGCACCATTTTATTGTCATAAGAACAAAAAGCTTTGTTTAAATACGCGTAACCTCATTCTGATGCGCTTGAATGTGAATGTTATGTTCGTGTGAGGATGGTCCATTCTGGTAGCCAACATGAAAAAGTTAAAAAAAAGTTCACGTTTATTATGTAATGTTTAACGAGCAGGAGTGTTTTATCGGGTATAAAACACGAGGCGTAGCTGAGTGGTTATAGACCCGATAAAACACGATCTGCGAGTACATTACTTAATAAACGCATGATGTATGTTCTCATATTGTACCGAATTCTTTACGAAATGAATCAAGTTTGATAGTTTTATCCAAGTTAAAGGACAACTGACCCTCCAAAATGACCCATTTTTAAGAGGAACTACATCATTTGAGAAGTCCAAAAATCCAGTTTTTAAAGGGGATAGAGCATCCATTTTTCTAAAACAATTTTTTGAAAACATC